ATTTTTTTTTTTTTTTTTTTTTTTGGTGTTTAAAAAGTTTTGACTATTATTATTTCTTAAATTATAAACTTTCAAAAAAAATTAATTTTTTTAGGGTTAAAATTTATGTTGTAATATTTTAATTTATAAAATATTATAGAATTGATTAGAACATTTAATATTTTTAATATAAAAGTGAATAGAATTTATTCATTAAAATTTTTCTTTGAATTTATATAATTATTAGTTTAATATTTTTATTGATATTATTTAGAATATAAATTAGATTAATAATAAAAGTATTATTATATAAAATTAAAATCTAGTTTAAATTAGTGCACTATAAAAGAGGACGGTCCGTTGAAACAGGGTAACAGAGCTTCCGTCTCAATGGCTTCCCAATCGCCGCCTTCTCTCGCCTCCCGCATATGCTCCGAAATAGCTTCCGTCTTCTCTAAGCCCACGCGCCAACACTCGCCGCCGCTGGAACTCCTGGTGTCCGAGCTCTCCGCAGCTGCGGCCCGAAAGGCCAGGGTTTTCCTCTATGGCGTCGGCCGTGAGGGTTTAATGCTCAAAGCCCTCTGTATGCGCCTCGCTCATCTCGGCCTCTCTTCGCACCAGGTCTTTGATATGAACGCGCCGCCAATCGCCGCTCATGACCTACTCATTGCGTCGGCTGGCCCCGGCGGGTTTTCGACCGTCGATGCGATTTGTTCCGTGGCTAGATCCAACGGCGGTAGGGTTTTGCTGCTGACGGCCCAACCGGAGACCGGCTCGTCCGTGAAGCACGCTGATGTGATTTGCTACGTTCCGGCGCAGACCATGGCTGACGACGAGGAATCAATGACGGAGACGGCGGTGAAATGTCGGCCTCTGCTTCCGATGGGGAGTTTGTATGAAGGGGCTCTGTTTGTTTTGTTTGAGATGGTGGTGTATCAGTTGGCTGAGGCGTTGGGAGAGAGCCCCGAGGCCGTCCGATCACGCCACACCAATCTCGAATGAATGGATCAGATTCAATATGAGGGTCGTTGGATTTTTTTTTTTTTTTTTTTTTTTTTT